GGCGCCCCCCCAGCGGGCACAAGGTGCCACCCCGTGGTGGATGCAGGCAGCGCACCCGCCCGCCCGCCCTCTACCCAGCTCTGCTCTGGCCCATGTGCACGCACCGCCCGCCCACTGGTCCCTGGACCACGCGTGCATCCATTCACCAGCGGTGCCCACACCCTCGTCCCCACCTATACCAGGGTGTTTGGAAAGTTGGGCTGCTCTGGCCCATGTGCACGCACCGCCCGCCCACTGGTCCCTGGACCACGCGTGCATCCATTCACCAGCGGTGCCCACACCCTCGTCCCCACCTATACCAGGGTGTTTGGAAAGTTCTGGAGAGAGGGGACCAGTGGATGGCATAGTGGTTACATATCGCTGGACTCCCACGTAGTCGACTTTCAGTGCAAAAAATTGAAATCCGTGCATTGAAACACACCCTTTCATAACACACATCTCCATGAGCTTTTCAATGACCCCGCGGACCTGACTCTCTCTGCACACCCCCTACTCACGGCACCCAGACACGCCCCTCCCCAAGAAGCTCCCGCTCACTGTCTGGTGGCTTATCTGAACACCTTTCATGTGCTAAGCTCTGGGCAGAGAGGTGTTGAGCCAAGGGGTCACAGGTCACTGTCCCTGTCCTCATGGGACCTGCAGACAGCAGAGGAGACACGCCCGCAGAGGCCCTTGCCAAGTGACCGTGACTTTGAGGCACAATGAGGACATATGGGCCAGAAACGCTGGCCAAGCAAGCTCCTTCTCAGCGGAGAGTCAAGAATGGCTAGAAGGGGTTAGGGGAGGAGCTGCCTGGAGGCAGTGGCCTGGGAGACAAGGCTCAGGCAGAGGTGTGGCAGGGCCGTGGGAAGGAGGCCGGCCCCACAGGCAGCTGCGCTGGGCGGCCCCTGGGCTAGGTGAGGCTGAGGAATTGCTCTGCAGTCCACTGTCCATTCCCTGCAGGAGGACGCATCTGCACCCCACAGTCATGGCTAGAGAGGTGGGGAGGGGGAGGGACAGGGACAGAGGGAGAGAGGGAGGGAGAGGAAGAGGGAGAGTGAATAATCCCCACAGCGCCACCCGCAGGGAGAACCCAGGTGTGCGCTTGCAGAGCCCCCAGGCTCTGATGCAGGACAGGGCTCAATCCTGGAGGGAGCAGCCTCAGATGGGCACCTTGCCCAACGTGCCACCCCAGTGTCCGCTCTGGCCACGCCACGTGAGAAGGCCCTGCGCACACGGCCCCCTGCCCAGCTGCCCTTCTCAGCAAATGCACACCCGATCCCCACAGCCGGTCTGTGCCCGCCGCTGTGTCCACCCCCGGCCCCACCTTCCCTGCCTCGTCACCTCTTGCTGGGAAGCGGCTGCCATGACGCGGCATCTAGCAGCCCCCAAGGGCTCCCTCACGGGCATCTGTCATGCTGGGGACCCCACTTGGAGTGCCCACCTCCCACCCTGCATGGGCGGGCCAGGTGTGCAGACCCAGCGCTCTCAGAAGCACACAACCAGATGCCGGACCACAGCCACCATTGGCCCTGCCACCCCTGCAGCCCTGTGGGCTCCACTCCAGGCTGGGCAGGGTCCCAGCCTGGCCCCCAGTCCTGTCTTCCAGGAGCACCCCCTCTTCCTTTCCCTGTAACTGGCTAGAGGTGACCTATGCTGTTCCCAAGGACACAACCTGAAACACGGGCCAGGCACCCACCTACGCTCAGAGGGGATTTTCCAAGACCTCCGTTACGGGACTGTCAGACAGGGCCGGCTTTAGTCGTGAGGCATATCCCCAGCACCAGGCTCCAGACAACGCTTACTAGTCAGAGGGTCTTTGGGAGTTTGTGGGCCTTTTGGTTTAGAGCAGAATAAACTTACTTTCCTCCATTTGCCTGTACACTTCCAAAGGCCGTTCGTAGGTGCTTTATCACACGTGTGCCACCTTCCACCTTAGTCTCTTAGCTGGCTTTCGAACAGCGAATGGTGTAGGTACGTTAGGCTCAGAGTAACGGTCCTAAACAGTGGTTCAGGGAGCTGGACCCCACAGGGCCAGCAGCACAGTCTGAGTCCCCACCTGGGCCATGTGCACACTGCCCTGATCCCAACAGGACAGGAGGAGTCCCGCCTGGGCCAGTGTGCTCACTGCCCCGATCCCAACAGGACAGGAGGAGTCCCGCCTGGGCCAGTGTGCACACTGCCCTGATCCCAACAGGACAGGAGGGGCCCCGCCTGGGCCAGAGTGCGCACTGCCCTGATCCCAACAGGACAGGAGGGGTCCCGCCTGGGCCAGAGTGCGCACTGCCCTGATCCCAACAGGACAGGAGGGGTCCCGCCTGGGCCAGTGTGCTCACTGCCCCGATCCCAACAGGACAGGAGGGGTCCCGCCTGGGCCAGTGTGCTCACGCGCCCCGATCCCAACAGGACAGGAGGGGGACCCACATGGGCCAGTGTGCACACTGCCCCGATCCCAACAGGACGGGAGGGGGAGAAAGGGTTTCAGCAGCACCACGGGGCACTCTCCCTTTCTTCTGGTCTCGCTCCAGAGAGCACATGCACCCTCTGGCAATTAAAAGGAAAAAAGAAAGAAAAGAAAAACAGGTTTTTAAAAAAGAATGATTTTATTTAACATTTTTTTTTTCTGACCAGAGAGGGACAGAGCAAGAAAGTGAGGAGAAGGAAAGTGAGAAAGCAAAGCCGCCAGGCCTAGGGCTAAAAACACAGTCGGCCACGTGGGAGTCCAGCGTCCTTAACCACCACACCACCTGCCGGCCCAAGAAACAGTTCTAAGTCAGGCCATGCTTTCCAGATGGCTTTCCTTCTGACCTAAAAAACCCAAGGAGCCGAAACAAAGACAGCGCACAACAGAGGCGGAGACTCGGTGTGTTGGAAGTATACCGGGACTGCTTAAACTGTAGGACCGTCCTGGGGAGACGCCCTGTGACTCCAGCTGAGACCCCAGGCAGGGCTCTGCTGTCCCCCTGCGGATGCTAGCTAGGGCCCTCACTGGCTGCTGGGATCCTCGCAGAACCCGGGCTCCACGGTGGTCCTGCAGGTCAGCACCTAGAACTGTGCCCAGCACGCAGCAGAGGGTCATGGGGAGCTTGTGCGTCCCCAGACTTACCTGGTGGTGCCCTGAACAGCCTTCCTCTCTTCAGGGCTCGCGTTTTCTGCACTGCTCAGAAACTCACTAGAACTCGCAGTGCTTTAGATAAGCCCCTGACAAAATATTTGCTTTCCTAGCAGGGTCACCAAAGTGCCTCTCACGGCTTACTGGACCCTAAATCCCACGCAGCTCTTTGCTCGCTACTTGAGGGAGTGTCGAGAGCAGAGGTTGCAGAGCCAGGCCAGGACTTCCGATGGTGATGGTGTGAAGAGCCCCCCTGCTCAGCGTGAAGGGAGCCCAAACCAGCAGCAGCTGAGGAATGCACACAAACGCGTACACAAATGGCATTGGTGGCTTTGCAAAATAAAGCTCACACCCTTGTCTGGAGGCCACCGCCCACCGTGGGTGCTGCTGGCTGGGACAGATACTGTGGGGGGGGGTGCTGGGACGCAGCTCCCTCCCTCCCAGTCCACTACACGCCTTGGGTGGTCTCACTGGGACCTCATCACTGGCCTGCAGAGTGCTCCAGGCCACCCCAGGCACCCCTAAATGCCCCTGGAAGGGCAGGGCCCTACGATGCCCCCAGCTCCAAGAAGCTCTGCTAACCTCCAAATCCCCATAGACGTGGGAAAAGACAGTCACTGTGGTCAGAGCTGGAGGAGGGGTCCCCACTACTGCTTCTCGGTGGCACCAGGACACCTGTGCTGGGCCGGTCGGAGAATCTGGAGGCCCCTGGGCTGGCTCGTGGCCACCTGGCCCCGGCTCCTCTCCACAGCATGTGGGGGTGGGCCC